TGCAGGTGTGGTAAGGAACACAGGGTCTTGAGCATTCTAGGCAAGTGCTGTGCTACTGAACTGCATCCCCAGCCCCCAGTGTTGAAATTTGTATTCTGGTTTTATCATATTCTGTCATAACACTTTGTATTTCTGTTATTGTTTAGCACTGCGTTAAATTGTTTGTTTCTGTGCTGTTCATCTTTATATCCACACACTAGTATGTATATAATAAATATTTGATGAATGATGAGATCCTGGACTTGGGTACCTCTGTACTATTAGAATAATTCTGTTAGTAAGTAATCTGTTGTTGTTATAACTATGCTTTGTTATAAGTGGTCTGAAAGCTACTTTTAAAGGAAACATAATATTCTTCATTGCAATTTTTATATAGTTATAGTGCCTATTACCACTGTTAATAGAATTTCAGTAACTGTGATTTACTAAAGTTATATATTATGCCTATTTTTAAAAGCTGGGACCTGTAAGAAAAATTTAATTGATATTCATCATAATCATTTTGAAGCTCTTACTATTTATTATGGAAATACACTTTTTGAATTTTGATTCATTATTTAAAATTGTGTGTCAAATGATAATAGATTTGATAGCTCTAATCATTGTTGATGATATTTTTAATTTTGGAAAGTAGCTTTTGTACATAGATGGGCATATTCAGTTATTTGTGTTTTATTAGCATTTGAAATTATAAAGCTTAGTTTTCTACTGTGTTTAGTTGAAATTATGCTACAATAATATAAATCTTTTTCATTTGATACTTCTGTAATCTAGCCCTTTTCTAGATTTAACTCTTACCATATTATTTAATAGTTTTTAAGCATTACATTTGTAATTAATCAGTAAACATTACGAATTCTGATTCCAGTTTAGTTTAGCTGATTTTCTTCAAATACTTGAAAATCTTAAATGAGATTCTCTGATGCACAAACCCTTCTAAATTAAATAAATTTTACTTAACAATGTAGTAAATCAACCATCCTATTTCAAAGAATTTAAAAACAGTGTACATAAAAGTAGTTGATTATATCAATTTGTTGCTATATTTGGGAAAAATTATAACCGTAAGTATATTTGTTTTGTGCACTCAACGAAAAGGAGACTAGAATGTCCATCTAAAACGAACTGGAGTAAATGATACAGATTCAGTTTAGTGATTCGTGTTATTGGGAGATCCTGAGCCTGGGACCACTACTCAGATAACACTGTCCAAGCTTTGTCTCATCATTAGGTGCTACCTCCTCTGTCAGTAGTAGGTAGCCTCCCATCCCTCCTCACCCTTTAATTAAAGCCATTTCTAGGTTTTGTGTCTTGGATGTCTATTAAATTTTATTATTTCTGTTTTTTTTCCTTCTTTTTCTCTGTGTTAACTTGTTGTAGTTTTGTTTCAGTAAAAAGAATCTCCTTTTACTCTAATGGGAATCCTTCTTTTGATGTCATTTCTAACAAACTAGCATTTCTAATTCATATTTTATTGCTAAAATATATATGACCAAAACAGCAGAATAAGCATTGATCTATTAACAGTTGACTATGTGCTGAATACTGTGTGCTATTATAATAATCCTTTTGTTTTTGCAATTCAATACAAAATCTTTATTAACATTTGTTAAGGTCTATTGATGGTTAAGTAACATTTTAATAAGAATAATACTGCATATTCAGCATTAACTATGTTCTAGGCATTGTCCTAACAATTGGGTGACCTAAATTAATATGTATAATCTATACTACCAAAATTGAGTCTGTGGCTTGGATTTTTTTTAAAATTTTTATTAGTACATGTTTGTAGTACATAATGATTGTGTGTTGGGCAGTTGGTATGTGTGTACTTAACACCTCTTAATTCTTTCTTTCATCCCCCTCTTCCTTCATTTCTTGGTTCTTGCCCTTTTACAAAAGCTCTATCTCCCTGTTTCCTATTTTATCTTTTATTTTACTCTTTATTTATATTTTGGATTTCTCATAAAAGAGAAATGCAATATTTAAGCTTGTGTGTCTGATTTACTTCACTTAGCATTATGATCTCAAAGTGCATTCATTTTTCTACATTGCCTCAAGTATATCCTTTATGGCAGAGTAGTACTTACTACATTGTATATAAATACCACATTTTCTTTATGCATTCTTCTTTATTGGGCATGTATGTAGGCTACTTCCAAGATTTAGCTATTGTGAATTGTGTTGCTATAAACATGAGTATGCATATATCACTGTAACATGATGTTTTTAACTCTTTTGGGAGAATACTTTGAAGGAGAATAGCTGGGTTGAATGGAGTTTCTATTTTTAGATATTTGAGGAATCTCCATATTGATTTCCAAAGTGGCTGTACTAGTTTACATTCCATTGGCAATGTAGGTTTCTTTTTTCCCTCACAACTTTGGTTATCATTTGATTTCTTGATGATAGCCATTCTTTCGGGAATAAGAAGGAATCTTAATGTTGCTTTAATTTACGTTTCCTAATGACCAGAGTCGTTGAACATTTTTACCATGCAGTATTTATTGGTCTTAGAAGAGCTTCATTGTGTACGTTGCTTCCTAATATATGACAGCTAGGACTAAAGCCAGTTCTTTCTGTCTTCAAAGCCTGTACTGTTTAACAAATGCCTTGCTTTTTTTGTTGTTGTTGCAGTTCATATCTTATGTTTCACATAAGACCCAAACTTGATCTTAGTTCATGATACGGCTGTCCCTCTTACATATATATTTTAAAATTTTTATCTTATTAACGTAAGTCAGCATGTCTTGTCTTACCTATATTTGGAATAGGCTTTTTCTTTGTGTTTTATCCTGTGATAAACGCAAATAGCCCTTTACTTTGCTGAGAGTTTTCATGGTTACTATTCTGCTGAATTTAGTAGTGTGTTCATAATTTCCAAGCTTTCTTCCTACTTAGCAAATACTTCATTTTAGAAGACTGTTGAAGGTTATTGTTTGGGGTCAGGTTTGGGAAACAGTGTAAGGAGAAGTGCAGAGAAATAACAGGACATTTTTCCAATAATGGAATTTAGAGGACAATTTTTAAATATGTAAGACTATTTGGCCTTTCTTGTTTAACATATTTTTGTGTAATTTTATTATAGCCAATCCTCTTACAGTTCTGTAACTAATTAGGGCATGGATGAAATCTCCAACTTTTTAGACATTTCTCTGGCTGTATTCTTTTTCAAGTCAGACTTCAGGAAGTACATTTTGAGCTTTTCTCAACGTATTTCTGTGCCTCCTTTCCCACTTTCGTAGACCCAGCTGTCATCACACAGGCTTACTGTATTCAGGCAGCCTCCTCACACCAGTCATCCTGATTTCACCTCTTCACCGAGTCATCATGTGTAGCACTGCTTTCCATCAGCCCTCAGAAAAAGCTTCTTTCATCACGTCACTTCCTTTGCTAAAAGTCTTAAAAGCCTCTTCATGGCCTGGAAGATAGAAAGCCCTAAGTGGGTGGTGGCTATTTTAAGTTGTTGCTACAGTCCCCTTTTCATTTCTTTTTGTTGTAAACCCCTTTAACCCTTGTTATCTTTAATAATTAATCATGAAAACATGCTTGGACATATATTTTTCTGTGGGTCTCTTTAATTGAAGGGTATCAATAATACTTTTCCTTTCAAATCCCTAAGAGTTCAATTAATGAAATGAGCTGAATTATATTCACTGCATATTATCATGATTTCAATTATTTTTCTATAGTTTGTTTTCATATTTGCAGACCCTTAACTGTATTATTTGAATACAATACTTAATATTTATCATATATCCATTGAATGCATGGTGTTCAGCTAGGAAAAATTGTGTACATGCTCACCAGTTTGTTTTTTCTTATATATCATTCCATGTTAGCGCTTAGAAGTTGATTTTTTTAGAAAAACCAAGCTGTAACAATTTTGTCAAAGATACTGAGGTAGATCTCTGATTAGAAAACAAAAATATTTTCCTACCATTATACATACATTTTCTTTAATTGCTAGGTGTTTGAAATCTTAATTGTATATATTAAGCATTAATTTGTTTTTTGTAAGTTTTTACTCCAAGAAGCTTAAAATTAAAACTTAACATCTTAAAATGAAACAGTGGGTAAGAGGAAAGGTGGAAGATGTTTTTATTTTTTAATATTTATTTATTTAATTTGAACTTGGCCCAGTTCACATAGTGCTTAAGAGAAATGGAATGTTATAAATTAACAGTTAAAGGAAAGTGAGTGCAAGATCAGAGTTCATAAACAATAGCACTCTTCATAGATCATGACTCATTCCAAAACCTTTGTACTCTGGGTCCCAATGAGGTAGTTGAGGAAAATGAAACCATTTTAGACATGGATAAAACAATGGAATTATTAACAGTACATTATATAATGATTAATTGCCTTTACAGCTCCAGTTGTCCCAAAATTCTCTTTTACAGTGGAACTTAAAAAAAAATTTTTTTTTCTAGCGCAGTATTTAGCCGGATTGGGGGCGGGTACCAGAGATTGAACTTGGGTCCTTTTGCTTGTGAAGCAGGTAGCGGCACCACTGAGCTAAATTCCTGGCCCCAGATTTATTCTTGTACAGAATTTGGTTATATACAAATTCTTTTAGAGCTATTGACAAAAACTACTTTTGTCTGTATCTTTATATGTATATATTAATGCCTGACTGTTTTGAGGAGGCCTGACTGGTTGGATTTTTTTGTTTTTTGTTTTTTGTTTTGTACCAGGGATCAAACTCAGGACCTTGCACTTTCAAGGCACCACTGAGCTACATCCCTGGCCCCCTGACTAGTTGTTTTTAGAATGTTCTGCATTCTAGATTTGCTTAATTGTTTCTTGAAGATTAAAGACAGTTATGTGAATTTATCATGTTAAACATTTTTCTCTGTGATACTCTTTGATGTTGTGTACTTCTCATTACACCATATCAGAAGATCTCTTGTGCCAACATAAAATTCATGATCTGTTTATCTGTAAAAAGCAGCAACGAAGATTTAATTGTTTGGATTATTTTTTTCATGTTTCAATAGACAACGACTGAACGGCCCTTCATTCAGAAGCTATTTCGTCCTGTGGCTGCAGATGGACAGCTGCATACACTAGGAGATCTCCTCAGAGAAGTGTGTCCTTCTGCCATTGCTCCTGAAGGTAATACATTCAGCATCATCAAACCATTTCTTTCATTCTCTTTCCTACACCCTATGTTATTGAGATAAAATAAGCATTTTTTATTCGTACACATCAATTTTTTTGTTTGTCTTTGGTTTTACGGTACTGGGGATTGAACTCAGGACCTTGCTAAATCCCTGGTCCCACATTAGTTATTTTAGAAACATATTTTCATTATTTTGTAGGGAAAAATCTTTTGTAACAGAAGCACTAATAACAAATTAAGACTTTGATTTTCTGTGGCAAAATAAAATACATTTTTTAAAAATTTCCACCTAACACATCTCTACTCTGGGTCTTTATTACATATGCCAGGGAGTCAGATATTGTAATTGGAAAGGATCGTGCATTAATATTTTTTAAAGTCCTCAGTTAATCCTAGTGAGCGACTATGAATTTAGAAATGTTGTTAGAAATGGTGGGTATGTTGCTCAGTGATAACAGCGCCCCTCAGTTCAATCCTAAATACTGAAAAAGAAAAGAATCTAAAGAAATACATTCTAGTACTCAAATTCCTAAGAAGTAGAATTAGAAACAACAGAATTAGGGATTGGTACTCTGGCCCAAATGACCAAACAATATGAAGCTCGGGATGTATGTCATTCTGTCTGTAGTATGATACTTTTCCATAGACAAGTATGCTTGCTTATACTGGCATTCCTGTGTATATTTGGCAGTTCTAAAATGGCTAAGGTCAATGAGAAAAAAACTTTTTTTTAAATAAAATGGCTAAGGACTCAGTGGGAAAGGGAAAAGAGCATCTAAAATGCCATTAGAACCCATGCATAAGGGATTAAGCAAGCAGACCATTGACCACTACCCAAAATTATCAAATACAATAGGATTGTTTGTTTTCAAGATTATAAACATTTTTTTTAAAGATCCCCCCACCCCCTGGATTGGCAGTAGAACTCAGGGCCTTTGTATTGAGTTATATCCTCAGCCTTTTTTAAAAAGATTTTTAAATTTTGAGACAGGATCCTTTAAATTGCTCAAGCTGGGCTTGAACTTGGAATCCTCCTGCCTCTGCCTCCTTGAATACTGGGATTACAGGCATGTGCCACCACACTGCTCTAAATTCTTAATGTATCATTTATCTTAACTTTAAACTACATAATCAAGGTTTCTGAAGATCTCTTATACACAGCCTTGAATCTGTAGTGCTGGAGCAAATGATTGCTAAACATTCCAATTATGGAATTTTTTCTTTGTATCATTGGTATCCCAAATTATATTTATGATAAATCATGGCATAATTAACATTGCACTGGGTAGAATACTATCTTAGATTCCTTGACAGCTTATTTGGAGGTTCTAGGAGGGGAGCACAGCTACTTGTATACTCTTGACTGGGGAGACGGTCCTCCTCTATGAGGGTGGTTGTCCTCTTTAACCGAGTGCGCAGCTTCGGGAGGGATGCACATGGAGCAGTGAGGGAGGAAGGAGACACCCGCCTACCCAGCCAGATCATCCCTGGCGGTCAGTGGGATGACAGATCGCCATCACATGCGCTATTTTAGATTCCTAATCTGTCTTTACTGCTAATTTTTATTTTCAGTGTTCCATATAAATAATTTTTATAATTCAATAATTTTTAGTAAATTTATAGAGTTGTGCAACTATCACCATAATCTAGTTTTAGAACATTTTTGTCACCTCAAAATGTTTGTTTTACTTATTTACAGCTAATCTCTGCTTTGATACCAGCCACAAGAATACTTTCTATTTCTTTAAGTTGCCTTTTTTGGATATGTCATATAAATGGAATCATACACCATGCACCATGTAGTCTTTTCCGCTAACATAATCTTTTTAGTTTCATCCATATTGCAGGAAGCAGCAGTCTGTCCCTTTTTATTGGTGAAATATTCCAAGGGGTGGATATGACTTTTTATTCATTTAATTATTGATGAGCATTTAAATTGTTTCCAACTTTTCACTTTTATGAATAGTGCTGCTATGGACATTCATATATGGTCTTCATGTGAACATATGATTTCCCTTAAGTAGAGTCCTGGAAGTGGAACAACTGGGTCATATGATAAGTTTATGTTTAATTTTTAAATTGCTAAACTTTTCCAGTATAGTTGGATCCATTTTACAGTCCCACCAGCAATGTATGAAGGTTCTAGTTTCTTCACATCTTCAGCAACACATATCACTTATGTCTTTTATTACAGCCATCCTTATGGTTGTGTAGTAGTGTCTCGTGACAGTTTTAATTTGTGTTTCCTTAGTGACTAATTGTGATCAGTGCGTTTTCACACACTTAATTATAATGTTTGTTTTGCTGTATTCTGAGGATTTGGGAATATAAGTTAGTTCTAGGTTTTAAGTGTCATTAAGACATTAATAATGGTTTATTGCTGATTCAGATGAGACCTGTCATTCTCATGCCTGCCCACAGCAGTATGAGCTTTCAGTTGCTCATTTCTCTGTCCTGTATTTTTCTTTGTTTTTTAAAAATTTTTAAAACCTTGGAGAAAATGCTTTTACCAATTAAGAGTAATTGAAGTTTAACCAAATACTACTTTATTGTGTTTTTTCTTAGTTTTTAAAAAAATAATTATCATCAAAGTAGGTCAAACAAACAAAATTTGTTTGTTATAAGACCCTTGGTTATTGACTGACAATATCACAACAAAATCCAGAGCCTTGGAAAAAAAATGCTCTGTCATGCTCTGTGCCTTTGCTGGCAGCACAATTGTCTGCACACAAGAGTAATCTGTATTTGCTAGTGCAGATATCTTGGGTTCCCTCTTTATACACTTGTTTTATTTGTAAAAGGCAAATTTTTCAGTTTTTCTTTTTAATCCAGGAAAGAAGTCTTGAATTTTATCTCCTCTCTTACCTACAAATTCATTATTTCAATTCATTTTATTTCATAGTTGCAAGTTTCTAGATGTTAGGTGTGATGGAGGAGAGAAAACTTTACTGGAATGGGAAGAAATTAGTTAGGTGTTAATTTTATATTTGATGTATTTAAAATGTTCTCTAATTTAGATCCCTTCTTTTTAGTTCAGTTCCTAAAGTTTGCAAGTGATTTATTAAAGTTCTGTTAGCTACTTATTTGGATATCTATGTTAGGAACTCAAGTCTTTACCTTCTGGCTTTTTGGTTTTTCCACTTTGGTTGCAGTTGTTTTTTCTTTTTTCTTTTCAGGGTAGGCAGGGTACTGGGCCCCATAATTTAATCTATATGTATATTTATTTTTATTCTTTTTTTGTTTGTTTGGTACCAGGTATTGTACTTAAAACCTTGTGCTTGTGAGGCAGGCGGTGCAACCACTGAGCCAAATCCCCAGCCCTGTTTTTTCTTTTCAACCTTTTAATTTAGTGTAAAATAACATTTTGAAATGCTTTTTTCTAATACTTCATTCTGTGATTTTGTTTAGTATCTACTTCCCTATGTGCTGTTTTGTCTAATTATTTCTGGTATAATCTTAGGAACCTGAGCTTCTGCTACATTCATTTTGTTATGCTAGCATTCTTGTATATAATTCTATCTGCTCTTAAAATGATGGATGTGAACATCAAACAGTCCAACACTGTCTTCTATCAGAATTCATTTTATGCTTATTTTTGCCAATCCCTCCACCCAGGCCAAACATTAAGTACAAGATTAACATTGCCTTACACATGAATAGTATGCAAATTTGACGGTAATTATTCTTTCAAAGATGCTTTGTTATCTCCTAAATTTCTAGCTTGCCTTTATCTTCCCATCCTTTTCTGGAAAATAAATAGCGTGACCTCCCTTTTATTAGTTGAACAGTGGGGTCTGTAATATGTCCACTCAGGAATTCAGTCCACACGCCTGCATTTTATTATTTCAGATACTGTAGATGAATACTTTTCTATGACAGATTTCTCTTTCCCCGAATTGTCAGATGCCCATATTGATTGGAAGACTCACACTTCATTGAAATGACATAAATAATGCCTACACTTTTGAGGTGTTTTGTTTTGTTTTTTGCAGAACTGGGGATCCAACTCAGGACCTTGTGCTTTCCAGACAGGCACTGGCACTACTAAGCTAAACCTCCAATGAGGTTGATGACATGTTTTGTACTAGGAGGAGGACACATCTGTAATAACATCCATGTTTAATAATTGTCTTTAAAAATCTGTGGAAAAACTGGCCATGGTGGCATATCTTTCTGGTCCCAGCTCCCTAGGAGGCTGAGACTGGAAGATAGTTAGTTCAAGACCAATTTAGCAATACCCTGTCTGAAAGTAACAAAGGCTAAGGATGTAGCTCAGTGGTAGAGAACTTGCAGGTTAAAAAAAAAATCAGGTCACTGTTTCCGTAAAGAAGTGTTGGTGGGGCATGATGATACAGGCCTATAATCACAGTGCTCTGGGAGGCTGCGGAAGGAGGATTACAAGTTCAAACCTAGTCTAGGCAAGTTACCTTGTCCTAAAATAAAGGGGTAGGGAGGTAGCTCAGTGGCAAGGCCTTAGGTTCAATTTCTAATACCACCAAAAAGCAAAAGAAGACAAAACAAAACAAAAACAACAGCAAAACTGTTTACTGTGTGGTTCAGTACACCTACTGTAGTATTGTCACGTGTGAAACATTTTGACACACCTGCCCTCAAGTTGAAAGCAAAATACTTTAAACTTGGGTGCGTATGGATAAGAACTGGATGAAAAGAGAAAGTACTTGTAAAAGTTATATGGAACCATTGTCTACTACTCCCTGCAAGAAGTGAGTCAGTTGTTAAGGAATTTTTTATTTCATCATATGAAAGTAGCATATACTAATATTTATGAAGACATGCTTTAAGTCATTGTTCTCATGGAGGAACTCATGATGAGCTCCTTTTTGTGTTTCTTTTTGATTGTAAGTAGCTAAGGGAGTTGGCCAAGTCAGAGGTAACAGGAAATAACCAAAGGTGAGCTCAGGTAAATTGTTTCTGTGGTTTCAGCTGTAGTTAAAATGACTCAGAGATATGTGTTTCTGTACCAGAGCTGAAG